GTATTGGAAGTCCTGGCCAGGGCAATAAGGCAAGAAGGAGAAATAAAAGGCATACAAATTGGCAAAGAGGAAGTAAAATTATCTCTATTTGCAGACAATATGATCCTGTACATAGAAAACCTAAGGGACTCAATAAAAAAAAATAATAACTTCTGGAAGTAATAGAGTTGTTCAGCAAGTGGCAGGATACAAGGTCAACATACAAAAATCAGTTCGATTCCTCTACACCAACAGAGAGTCCTCTGATTAAAAAAATAAGGGAAACAATACCATTTACAATAGCTACTAACAACATAAAATATCTAAGAATAAACTTTACCAGAGACACAAAAGTCCTATACAAACAGAACACTGCTACAAGAGACAACGAGGGCACTACATAAATGGAAGAACATACCACATTCATAGGAGCTTTGGTAGCATAGTGCCTAAGGCACTTGACTGCTAACCAGAAGTCTGGTGGTTCAAACCCACCAGTCACTCCTCAGAAGGAAGGTTGGGCAATCTGCTTCTGTAGTGATACTGCCTTGGAAACCCAATGAGGGATCGCTATGAGTCATGTTTGTCTTGATGGTACATAACAACAACCTTGTTCATGGATAGGTAGACTGAATACTGGGAAAATGTCAATACTACCTAAAGCAATCTACACATTTAAAGAAATCTCAATCCAGATACCAACAAATTTTTTAAGGACATGGAAAAATCAATGACTAACTTCATATGAAAAGGAAAGAGACCTCGGATAAGTGGAGCATTTCTGATGAAGAAGAACAAAGTGGGAAGTCTCACATTCCCAGATCTTAAGAACTACTATTCAGCCACCGTAGTTAAAACAGCATGGTATTGGTACAATGATAGACAGACCAATGGAACAGAATCGAAAGTCCAGATATAGACCCCTCCATCTATGAACAGCTGATCTTTGACAAAGGTCCAAAAGCCATTAAATGGGGAAGCGAAAGCCTCTTTAACAAATCGTGTTAGCAAACCTGGATATACACTTAAAGAAAAATGAAACAAAACCCATACCTCACCCCATACACAAAAACAAACTCAAGCTGGATCAAAGACCTAAACGTAAAACCCAAAACTATAAAATTCATCAAAGATAGAATAGGGGCAAATCTGGGGGCCCTATTTATGGCATAAATAGATTATCAAGCATAACCCAGAAAGCACAGGAGGTAGAAGACAAGATAGATGACTGGGACCTTTTAAAAATTATGTTCTTATGTGCCTCGAAAGAATTTGTCAAAAGGGTAAAAAGAGAACCTACAGATTGAAAGAAAATATTTGCCTATGATATATCTGATAAAGGACTTATCTCCTAAATCTATGGAAAACTTCAACACCTCTACACCAAAAACACAAATAACCCAATTCACAAATGGGCAAAAGACTTGAGCAGACACTTCCCAAAGATGATATACTGGCGGCCAAGAAACACATGAGAAAGTGCTCGCAGTCATTAGTCATCACAGTGATCCATAACAAAACAACAATGAGATATCATCTCACCCCAGCAATAATACCAAAGTTCATCAGGACAGAAAATAACAAATGCTGGTGAGGTTGCAGAGAGATTTGAACTCTTGCACACTGCTGGTGGGATTGTAAATTGGTACAACCATTGTGGCAAATGGTATGGCATTTCCCTAAAAAAAAAAAAAAAA